TTGCTGTTTTCCGTTACGCCCGGCATGAATGACCGGGGTTCCGTTCTGGCCCCCCGCCGATCACTCCTTCCCGAGCACCCCTCGTCTTTGCCCCGCCCCCCCCCCCCCCCCCCGCTCACCCCGGTGACTGCACCCCAGCCCCCCCCCCCCCCCCCCCTTCCCCAGCCCTCCTCCCGCGGACACACGGCGGCGCCCGGCCTGGTGGCGGTAATGTGGGGCAAGGCGGTGGGGGTTTGGAAATTGCATTGGTAGGTGGCCAGAGCACTGGATGTCGTGGCGGATGCATTTCCCAGTCACCCTGCACAGGAGCCGATGGGTGGCGTGCTGGCATAGCGGCTAGCGCGTGGTTGCACAGCGACAGCAGCAGCCCCGGTGACCGAGCCACCGGCATCCGGGTCAGTAACCGCCCGCCAAGGCCCAGCCGCCTTAGCAGGAGCAGTTCTCGCCGCACTTGCAGTTCGGGCCACAGGCGCAGGTGGGCGACTTGCAGGTGCCCGGGTCGGCGGTCTGGTTCTTGTTGCCCGAGGGGCAGCAACTGCCGCCACTGGAAGAGTTGACCTTGGCCATGCCCTGGCCGCAGTTACCACGCTGCTGGTCGGTGTTGCCGGAGCACCGGTTGGGCGGCATGCCCACCTCGACCGGGGGCTCACGCGCGCACTTCCCACCAGTGGGGGGCTTGCCATCGACCGACTTGCCAGCGCAGTGGGCCTTGGTGCAGTTGTCCGCGGCGCCCTTGCAATTGGCCTTGGTGCACTTGGAGCCGGCGCAGTTGGCGGTGGCGCAGCAATTCTTATCGCCACACTCACCGGCCTTGCAGGCCTGCTTCTTCGGGCACTTGGCCGGATCCTTGCAGGTGGACGCGTCGGAGCAGTCACAGCATCCCTTGCAGTCGGCCTTCGTGCACTTCTGATCAGTGCACTTGGCCGGGCTACCGCCGGTATGGGTGACGTCCTTGCAGTCGGTCTTCTCGCAGCCGGCCTTGGCGCAGGGGGGGTTGTTGTTCGAGGGGCAGGACATGATTGCTGGGCGGCCAGGAAGAAAGAGGGACAGGGCGCGGGCGCACGCAAACGAAAGAGGGGGACACCGGGGGTTAGGATGGCTGATACAAAGGTCAAGATATGGAAAGGCGGCAGGTGGAGGGGAGGATGCGAGGGGCGATCCCCGGGGGAAGGGGCAGCCACCAGATGGATCCGTCCGAACCTTGAAAAGTGGAAAAGAGGAGGAGGGGGAGGGGGGTGATCTTCTTTGATCGGTGACCAAGATCCTATGGCTGGCTGCCGGCAAAGTGTCTTATATACCTGGGGCCAGGTGAGGGGCTATGACACAGAGTGAGAGTGAGAGCGAGAGCGAGAGCGAGAGCGAGAGCGAGAGCGAGAGCGAGAGCGAGAGCGAGAGCGAGAGAGAGAGAGAGAGAGAGAGAGAGAGAGAGGGGGGGGGGCGGGACTGGGAACGTGGACCTGTCAGAGGCGCAGGCTTGCCAGCCACTTCCACGACCGCGCACCAGGACGCTGAGCAGCTGCTTCCAGGCAGCAGCACCCGGCCTCGAGAGATGCCTGGAGCGCAGCTTTAGCGCGATGCAATTCAAAAAAAAACCACTGCCATGTCTCGCCGGACCGAATATGAATGGGGCGCATACTCGCCCTGATACGTGCCAATAGGTGTGTATCCCTGGGAACGATGGGCGGGCATGCGGAGCTCCGGCTGACAGGAAGGGCTTGGCAGCCCTGCAAGGGTGCGAGAAAGGGAGGCGGTCCTGGCCCGGCTGGTGCGGTGAATGCTCCTTCGGGAATGCCCGGAGGACATCCATGCACAACCA